GGGGGGGGGGGTACCCCTAGGTAGCATTAGGTATCACACCCCCTGGGCTGATGTTCGAAGCTGATGTAGCATTAGGTTCGAAGCTCGGGATCTCCACAACAGAATGAGTGGCAGAGCCGACAATCGCAGCGTTGTCACCGTCTCGTGGAAGGGTTTGCAAAACATGTCCTTTGGATTTTTCATCCTTTTCGTCATGTAGAAGTCGAGCTCGGAAGGTCGATCCGGGGGTGGTATCTTGTGTCACGCACGGTAGGTACGTCAGGGGCAACCCACTGGATGATCGCGAGGGTGGCGACAGACGAGTGGTTCACACACGCTGGACTGCAAAGCCGTCCCCTGCTGGTGCCTAGCCCCCTTGTGCGGTTGTGTTTACATGCGTGCTATGATGATATGGAAGGTTCCTCGTGAAACACCAGCGAGCCCACGCGGCATGGCGCCCCCCCACCCTCAGCACCCCTGGATGGCGAACTTATTTTGTCCAATTCGGCCTACGGGCGCACATCACTGAATCACTGATACAGGTCTACGAAAGGGGGAAGCAGAACCTGAAGAAATTCCTCGAGAACGGCTGGCTGGTTCCCGACAAGACGCCTTGCTTCTACATCTACGCACAGAAGATGGGGGAGCACCTCCAGACAGGAATTGTGGCGGGAGTGCCTGTCGAGGACTACGCGCTGGGCGTCATCAAGCGGTGCGATTGTTGTTTTGTACCACAATAACTTGCATGACAGATACTAAGAATGAAGGCTCTGCTGGTCTTGCGTCCAGACCATGGGCAGAGTTCTGTTCTGGGAGTAGGATGGCTGTTTTTTTCGCGATAACCGCGTGCCGTGTGTTTTTTCGATTTGCCTGTTGAGCGGTTGTCTACGATAACTGTTTTTTTTTGTTTGTTTGGGGAAAGGTTGGTGTGGTCACGCATTGACCTGATCCGCCTCCATGCCGCACAGGCTTAAGTGTCGGGAGGGCAGTTCTTGAGACCTTTTTTGGCCCTTTCGTAAGTATTTGTTATGGCACAAGGGAAACAGTTGGAGACTCATGCCTTTCTGCCTTTGGATACCCTGCTGCGCTCGGACACGGACGTGAGGGCGCTCGAAACGCGCAACTTATTTGTCGGCTTGAAATTTTGCACACGCAGCAGGAATGATCCCACTCAGGTCATGATGTACTGCATACTGGTACTATACCGTCTTGGTATGTGAGTTTCTGTTGTGGACGCCAAGAGAGTCAATGCACGCGTGCAACATGTCCGCCCCAATACCTGTCATAGAGAAAATTCAGTGAAACCACAAACACCCCTACTCACCAAAGTGTACGGGTGATACACTGCCATACAACCACCCCCTTCATGTTCTTTTGTTCGTTTGGTGCTCACCCTAAGACGGAGGAGTTGACGATTCTTACTCTTTTTTTGCGCCTTCGTTTGTGAACAATACTGAAGGCACGAGAAGACTCAGGTGAAGAAGGAGAACGACCGGACTAGGTTGACGCATGTGCAGAACGCCAACGCTGGCCCCGTGTTCCTGACCTACCGAACTAGCGAGACTGTGGACGAGATTGTCGGCAAGATGACGCGGTGAGTGCCGTGCCCTAGAGAGACCTGGACACTTCTGTTCCGTGGGGTGGGCTCAAAAACGCCGGTATGTACCCGGTGCATCGACCGGCGCTGTTCGGAGGGACCGATGCCAGTCAATGTACACAATGTGTTGGTTTAGTCTGTGCCCAACAATATCACCGGCGCTGTACACGGCCACTAGTCAATCGGCGTTGCTGACGCCCCCCGACTGTAGTACGATGCATGGCGGCGTGGCCAAAGAGACACTTGGTGTACCAAGTGTTCACCGGGAGTGTGGGTCGTCTTTACAAGTTCGTCGCAGGCCGGTTACCGAAAATATTCGAACGGGTTGCGTGTTTAGGTTATTGGTTTCGGCTTTGATTGTGCTTTTATTGTTGGCTTGGGGGGGGAAGGCATACTGTACCATGCTCAACTCCTCTTGCCTGCTTGTACTCTGTCGAGGTGAATTTCCGCGGCCACAAGCTGACCTGAAATAGGGTACAAGTATGCATAGAAGAAAACGAATTTACTCGAGTCTGCAGTTCAGTCCAAACAATCACCATGAAGTAAAGTTGCATGTCTAAGAGAAGCAGAAAGCAGACCAAGGCTCGATCGTGTGCGTGCGTTCTTGTTTTTTTTACCTGGGCTCCTTTTTTGCGTTGTAGTCGAGTGCGATGTACATCGCATGTTCGGTCGACGTCCCAGTCCTTGTTTTGATTGTTCTTCTGCGGAGCATGTATCAGGCGGCTGTCTAGGCTGCCGCAAAAAAGCGGTTTTTGCTGCGGTTTATCGGTGCGTGTTTTCCGACTCCAATATGGAGATATACTGTATCTGAAGTACCCATCTCCGAAATGCCCATCTCCCAAATACCATGTCCGACATGCAACTCTCCGAAACACCGCATCCAAGATGCCATCTCTGTAACTACCATATCCGAAATACCATGTCCAAAATGACATGTCCGAAATACCACGTACGACACACTTGCCATCTCCGGAACTACAGGGACACCCCCGAGGTGCAGTTCAGAGCGGAAGGCGGCACGGAACATTCTGTGTGGGTCGTGAGGGACCCCGTGGACGTGTTCGCGATACAGAAGGCGTTCGAGGGCGTCAAGACCACCTATATCGCGGATGGGCACCACCGCAGTGCGTCGGCGTTCAGGTTAGCAATAGCTGTTGTTTTTTCCTTCAAGACTGTTGTTGGTGTTTCGTGTTTACATGTCTTGTCTTTTCCCAGAACCTCACAAAAATGGACTCCAATGTAGACCATATACATGAGAATGTTGACGATGCAAAGACGAATGCATGACCCCGCATTTCCGGTCCTAAAGTGCGGTCAACGTCTCCGATTGACTTGATGCTTTCATATCGGGGAACCCCTTTTTTGGAACAGGGTGGGTGAGATGAAGATCAAGGAGGCGGTTGCAAGGGGGGACGTGGTGACGGGCGAGGAGCCTTTCAACTTCTTCCTGGCGGTGCTGTTCCCCTCCAATCAGCTGCTCTGCATGGAGTACAACCGAGTCGTTCGTGACCTGGCGGGCTTTTCGGTGAGGAATATCGAGAACCGAACCAAACCAAACCAAACCGTGGGAGTTGTCAGCGTTGCTGCTCCCGGTGGCTGTTCGTGTTGTCGTGGTTTTGCTGGTTTTGATGTTGTTGTTGGTTGTCGTGGTTTGGTTGTTGTCGTGGCTGTATTTGTTCGTTGTTGTTGTTGTTGCTGTTGCAGCTGTTGTTGGTGGCGTCGTCGTCGTAGTTGTTCATGGAATCGTTGTGCTGGTTATGTGTGTGTTGTCTTGACGTCAAATGTCCTATTTTCCTATGTTTGCCTGTCTGGCCACTTGCGGATACCTCGACGACACTCCGCACTGACCTATCAGAATTTGCGCTGCCAAAGACGAACACAAAACCGACTATCAGGTGTGCACAGATGTGCAGGCTAATGTCATGCGTGAGTCGCTCCACTTTGGTCTGTAGACCTCCTCCTCGTCCGGACCTTTCAGGGATGCCAACGACTACGACATGCGTTAACACGAGTACCCCCCCCCTCCCTCCTTCAGGACGAGGATTTTCTCGAGCGAGTGTCGGTGAACTTCGAGGTGTCCAAGACGCCGGAGGGTTCGAAGGTGGAGCCCGGCCGCGTGAGGGAGATGGCTATGTGCCTGCGAGGGAGTTGGTACACGATCCGAGCCAAGGAGGGGACTTTCCCCGCGGAGGACGTCGTAAAGTCGCTCGACGTTCAGGTGACCATGCGAAGGGCGGAGCAGAGAAAGTTGTTGGGTATGGCAGTTGCAGCGGGGGTCTGACTTGCGAAGCTGGCGAAGGTGCAGACAAGTACCATGGTGCCCGTTGTTGTTGTTGTTGTTGTTGTTGTTGTTGTTGTTGTTGTTGTTGTTGTTGTTGTTTCACTCTCACAAATGATTGAGAGTCCCCGTGTTGCCATCCTCCTGCGTGACCCCGGCTGATACGTCCAATAATTTCGGCACCAGGGTTATGGATGGGAAGAAAACACACGCCCGCTCGCACGCACACCTCACCCTCGCATTCCCCGATGTCGTTATTGTTGCTCCTCCCTGTCAGATCCTGTATCCGGACGACAACCCTGGTCCTTGGTATTGCGTGCGTTGTCGTGAACTGCTGTTGTCGCTGTTGCTTCTCCGCTGCTTTGGAACCTGTTCGACAACTGATCAACCCGTCGATTGCTGTCGTTGTTGCTGCTCTCGGAACTCCGCCGTTTCAGATCCTGTACGACAACCTTCTCAACCCCGTCCTCAACATCGGAAACCCTCGAGCAGACGAACGCATCAAATACGGTGAGGATGAGAAAACACCCACGTGTCTTCCCCGAGCACAACACGCCGTCGTCTGACATGCCCGTCGTTTCTTTCGTGCTGGGGCAGTTTCGTTGTGACGTTTGGGGAGGAGGCTATTGTTGCTCAATAAAGCTCAATAGGCCGCCGGTTAGTTTGGCTTGGATTCACGGCGCTTGTTGCCGTCGCCTTGATGTGGTGGGGTTTTCTGTTCAGCTGAGAGGGGGGGGAGGGTTGCCGCACATATCGTTAGACGCCCTCTGTTGGTCTAGCGGTGATGCATCCACGTACACTAGAAGGGGCATTGTTCCCGAGCAGAATGTTTTTTTGTTCTCTTGTTTTCCTACCACTTCGCCCCTCCTTCTGTCGCAATCTCGAAACGATGATTCGCTTGGTGACGAAAGGCACAGGACGTGCTGCTTTTGTACACGGTGGGGTACAACTTCGGGCTGGAAAAACGAAACCACGTTTTGCCAAGTTGGCCGCAAGGACAAGTGCTTAGGCAAGAATTAGTCTTGATGGGTTACCAACCCCCGGGAGAAAATAGTAATCGATTGAATAGGCAGATAGCATTTCGCTGTGTCTCCCCTATTGTTATTTTGTTTTCATTGTCCACCACATGTTTCACACGATTGTGTGTGCCCTTGTCTGCCCCCCCCCCCCCATTCGTTTCCGCGGCGCCCTTTCGGTCTTAGTTGGGGGAATCCGAGGATCTAACGAGCTGCGACGGCTGGTGACAAACCCGGCACCGGAAGAAGGGTCGTGGGCGGTGGCGTTCTGCATGTTCCCGGTATCTGTGGATCAAGTCATGAGGGTAGCGGACGCCGATCAGCTCATGCCCCCGAAGGTGCGAAGAAAGAGAAAATAAGGCCTCGCCTTTGGATGATGGAAGACGTGTCTTGTCGCTGCAAATTCTAGAAGCGTATGATAGAGAAGGACCATGCGGGTGATTCAAGACGTGGCATATTGCCGAAGGTGCTACTAGAAGCAAATTAAGTAATAAAGTAAGACGCACCGTCCAGGTGAGCAAGAGGCGTGTATTTTCACCGAAAACTACAGAAGCGCATGAGTAGACGTGGCAGTATACCGTGTTCCCGAAGGCACCCTCGCTGTCCTGGTACTGTGACGTGGGCCTCCCAACCGACGCAATGAGCTGGCCGAACTTGCAGCTTTTCGAGCGACTCTTGTTGTTGACCCGCGCCCACTGGAAACTTCTGGGAAACTTCCCCGTTGTCGTGGTGTTGCTGTTCATCGTCACTGTCCTGCGAGCAGGCGACTTGGTTCGAGCCTAAGCTTAGGTCGGGGCTGGTCGTGCGCTCGCTGGATTCGCTGGAGGAAACAAGATAGCCGTAATAGCGGGCGCCATGCAACAGTCGGTAGTTGACTGTGGTCTTCAATTGTTAGCACCGTGTGAAATTGGGTGGTTGTTGTCGCCGTCGTCGTCGCTGTCAGCAACGGCTTGGAAGATGGCCGCCAGTCATTCTACGGGTAGCCGTCAACTTTTTTTAGGCGTTTCTAGTCGGGGGGGTTGGGGTTGTCGTCGTTTTTAGCATCGGCTTGAAGGTAGCCGCCAAGTTTGCAGGGCATACTATGTAGGGTATGGCCGTCATGGTGTTGGTTTGGGTGGCCGGCTAAACCAATGAGAAAGCCGCAGCCGGACTAGACTGCCGATAGAGGTTAAGGCGACAGCGCTTGAACAAAAGCCCGTCACGTATGGAGATAGCCGATGGACTCGCCGTGACACTCGAAACTTTTTCGAAACGCCTACCCATGTGGCCGGCGTTGCATGTCTCGCCCCAAATGCGTCTCCAGTCACCAAGCCCAGCCTCCATTAGTCCAGTAGTACCTCACCGCTTGTTACGGTCGGTGCAAACGTGTATGGCCTCCAAGGGGTCGGAGATGCTGTGCTATGTATGCGTGTGGGGCGCGCCGTGACTATTGCTGATATTCCTGCCTATGGTCGAGGCAATCGGGGCAGTCTTGAGGCGTTTTTGCTAACTTTTCGCGGGTGCAGGGCAGCCCACTCATGTAGCCGAGTCGTCCACGTCGCAATTGAGCCTGTATCGGCCTAGCTAGATTGTCGTTGTTTCAGATTCGATTTAGCCGGGGGCAGATAGGCTCATACCCGTCGACGATGACAGCAGGGAACGGGGGCACGCGCGAATGGTATTGGCCAAGAGAATAATCCTTAGCGTCCACGAACGGTGCGCGAACTTCGTGTCGACGGGACACCAGTGGAACCGCTGTTTACACGCGAAGGGTATTGCGAAAGGGAAACCTTCCTTGGCTTCCACGAACGGTGCGCGAACTTCCTGTCCACGGGACACCACCAGTAGAACCGCCGTAAGCTGTTTTGAGCTCCTTGACGCTAGTTGGAAAAACATGTGTGAGCTACAGAAACATGGTTCACATGGCGATATCTGTATCCACTCGAAGTGTTAAAGGTTGTATTTACATGTCTCAGAACCAGGAGGTTGTAGATGGTGACAGGTAGGTCTTCTTAGAGATACACTTAGAATGGGTGGGGTCAGGGAATTGGCACAAGTCTATGTTCTTGCGAGCGAGGCCAAGAACAGACCAGAGAGTTCTTCGCTTGCCTAGTCCTTGCCTTTGTACGGTAAGGAACACCCACGTAGAGGGAGGTAGGACTCCGCGTTGACGGGGTATATACATGGCGCGTTGAGGTTGAGAGTTTTTCGTCACGCAGCAGGGCGGAGTGTGTGCATGTTGGTGGGGTGTAGGTTGAGCTTGTAGGCAAACTATTATTTTTTTTCCATCTACAACATGTGCGTGCTCCACACGAAGCGAGATAGATCGGCAATCTTGCTCACTTGCTTCGACGGATGTTCTTGTCTTCTTCCTTCGGGAGTACGGAACAGGAGATTCTGGAAAGAAAGCAAGCGCCACACAGGTTGTCGGGGGGGTTTCTGTCATGGACGCGAAGATTAAGAATCAACATTTTTTTTATGAAGCGACAGACCGGCCGGCCTGTGGATGTACCTCCCAGTTTGTTGTCGCCGTTGGGGGAGCAGTAGAGGGGAGGGGAGATGAATGTGCGCACCGATTCAGGACTGCTGGGAGGCACCGAATGGCAAAGTTGGAGCAGAAACATGCCTCCTCCGCCTTCCAAAACCATCGGCACCGCGCACCGGTCGAATCAAAGCAGCTTAAGCACAGCCGTGATTTCTATCTAATCACTGCTGTAGAACAGACGCACCTCATCATTTTTCTCCCAAGGGACGCCTGGTAGCATGAAATACTTTCACTGGCACAGTGGCGGATGAGGACGACCGCTGACGACGATATAACGTTTCCTACTTGTTGTCCTACTTGTACGTTCGCCCCCCCTCCTCGTCCTGGTTCTTTGCTTTCGAATCATGATATCATGAGATGATGGCAGATACATTGAGAGTTTCAGGACCCGACGAATGATCAGGAGAAGGGGGGCGACGCGTTGGCAAGATTGCACTTCGTACATTACTCCCATCTTCGCGGGGGAATCGAACGAAGAGCGATTGATCGTATTTCGCTAAATCAAGTTGTACGCTTGTGACCACCGAAGGCATCCGCGTCAGTTGGACCAGCACGGACTTTAGAAGGTACCTGAGTGGAGACCGGAACGGAAAACAACAGCAGCAACAATAAGTATTGTCTAAGACTAGAAATACGGAAGTCGAGCAAACCCATACAGCTGCAGACTAAAACATTGCGGTTGAGGCGGGTTCCGCGGTAAAGCCAAATCGCTCAGTTCTCGGCGGAAAAAAAGTGCAAAAACACCGATTTCACAGATAGCGCTAAAATGTCCAAAAACGAGGTTTGAAAAAAGGCAACCAAAAAGAGTTCACCTTGGTAGAGGTTTTCTTTTTTCGACGCATTGCCGAACTTTTTTCATTTTGCCTTCATCGGCAATCGATTCCGCGTGGTCAATTTAGGGTGACTAAAGCCATTCAGAAAGAAAGTTGGTCTGACCAAAAGTGGTCGCGCAAGCTGGTCATGAAAAATCTCAGGATTCCTGAGAACGCATATGAAAGAGACAGTTTTGGGCAGCTTTTGGTCGAATACACAGCCAACCTGCGATATTCTGATGATGGGTTCATGATCCCCACCCCAAAATTACCCTGAGATGAAGTTTACGGAGAGAGGTTCAATCAACCCACGTAACGTTTTCCGGGGGAGGGGATGTTTTCCGGTCATCCCCGCTTTCTTGGGAATCTTGGACAGTTTTATCACGACGGCATCGATCAGTGCGAAAATTCTGACAAGGGATTTGTGATCCCCATCCCAATTTTACTCGGAAATGAAGTTATTAGCTCGATCGAAGCCTTTCCAATGGGGGGGGGGGGGGTTGGGCCCATCCCCTCTTTCGGGCGTTTCCGAAATTTCCTCTAGCGAGCCCGGATAAAGCAATTGAAACCCGGGCACGAAGTATCTCGTTTGCTCTCAAACTTCGCACCCGGTGTCCTAAGGGGGCCACCGACACAGGACCAGTAACCAGAAACGAGTGTACCCGGGTACTTCGTCACCACTTTCGGGTACACGTAGTAATCAAGACGGTTGCACCCCCAGGCTGTCAGCTGATTGGCCGAAAAACTATTGTACCCATTTCTGGAGAAACCTCCATCGGGTACAGCTTCCGCTGGAGATAGCACCCGCTGGTGTAACCGATATTGATTGGTTACTGGTGTACCCGGAAAGAAAGGGTCGATTTTGTACCCAGATATGGTCATATTATCCCGGCGCCCGACGCTCTAGCATAAAACCCGCAGAAAAAAACGTGTAGTACCGCACACACACCGTGTACCGCACATATGCATACATACATGCAGAACCACAACCAAACCACCAATAACGCTCGCTCGTTCATCGTTCATGGGCACCGCCTCCATAGGATACCGGCCCTTCTCAACAGAGGGTCGGACTCGCTTGACGCGCGAGTACTTCGGTGTGGTACTGATCAGTAAAAAAAGCACAGAGAGAGAGAGAGAGGCACAGAGAGACAGAAAAACGGACACGACCTGCCTCCTCGTGCATCATCATGCTTGCGGGGATGATAGGACACACAGGACACAGACAGCGGTTTATTGGTTTCGCCGCGATCTACGGCGGATGCTGTCGCAGATTGGTGTCGTCTTGATTTCCAAGTGTACCCTGAAATGATGATAATCCGGGTATAGTCTACCCGTTTCTGGTTACTTCTCTTTTTAAAATACAATAATAGGAGGTTCAAAGTGGGCCCTTCACGTCGCCCCCCGGCCCCCCTCCTCAAATATTCGGCTTTACTGCAGAACCCGCCTTTGAGTACTACTATCGTGGTTGGGTCGAAAACGGGCCCGGACAGAGCCATCATTCATTCGCTGCTGTACTGCAAGAATCAAGTCGCCATCATAATGTCTACGCGTCTACTGTCGGAAATTGGTAAATTGGTTGACGACTGACTGTGTTTAGGATCTTGCGGCTTTTATTTATTTGTTCGGACGTGGACACCCACACGCCCCTCATCAATCAAGGCTTGACACTTTTTTTGAGGTAAAATAAATACACACACAGAAAGACTACCCGTTCGAGATACTGCTGTACGGTGAACACTGCGCGGATCTCGCCGCATGCTTGACGGGATTTTCAGGGGGGGGGACACGTTCCCGTTGGAGGCCGTGTTTTTCGTGTATTTTTCTATTTGTTTTTCACGTGCAGCACTGAATTCCGGCCTTCGCAGAGGTGTCGACTGCCATTCATTGGTTGGCGTAGCAAGCCGATGAGCTGGCATCCCGTGACAGGTGCCTCGATATAGCACGGTGGGGGGTTGAACGTCCGGATGTCCGGATGTATGTCCGGATGTCCGGATGTCGGGATGACCAGGCAAGGGCGCCGGCAGGGCGCAGCAGGGCTTGCTTGCGCGCTTTTGCGCTTGCGCAAGCTTGCGCGCGAAGGGGCGCGGCGGCTAGAATTCCCAAACTGTGCAGGGTACCGGGAGCTCCGTGAGACGAAGATGACAGACCCGCGCGCACACAAAGCACAGTGCATACATACATCACTTTGTTCGTTACTTTCGAAATTGCATTATTAATTTGTCGTATCATCGGTCGTCCCGGTGGTCTAGTGGTGGTATCCTCGTAATCCGCTAGTTGTTGAGGTCGTGAGTTCGAATCCCCAAGGGGTGAAAAATTTACGAGATGTGCGGGTGAAAGCGAAATATATATGGTCCATCCAAGGCAATTTGTCCAATGACGGTTTGTGCGATAACTTTCGAAAAAAATCGAATGGAAACTTGAAACAACTTTGGCCGTGACGGCGGCGTCGAGTTGCGTCGATATCCGGTGAGTTTTTTTAATTCGGGTGTTTTGCGACATTTTCGGCCCAAAATGATCCACGGTGCCCCCTAACCCCCCATACCCTCATCATTTACTGTCACGGAACCCCCTATACCCCCCTAGCCCCCTACAACACTTTAACCTATACATCTGAATGTGCGCCGGGCGATTGTCGAGCGGTGAGGTTGAGCCGCACTCCGAGGCGGCCCAACCTCTGGACACACAGCAGTCTCTGCCGTTCGAACTGCTGCGGACATGACGCATGCATCAGCAGACCCTACGAAAGACAGCGTGACCTGTCCACTACCTGAGGAGGCACCAGTGCTCTCGTCGCGATATGACTCGTCGCGGTCTTGGTCGTCGTCGACTTCCATGGTAGAGAGGGTGCTGTCATCGGGGGTTGGTGGATCGGCAGCTGACGCAGAGCACTCACGGCGCTGGAATTGGCTGCCGCTTCCCCTTTGAGGTGTGCGGCGGCGCTTATTCCGCCGACACATGACGAATTTGGGTGCTGAGCACCGTTGCAGAGCGTGTGGGGGTGTGTTGCGCCCTGCGCACAAGCGGGGTGGGGGCTCGCGTAGCCACGGGGGAAAACTCCTCCCCGCTTGCAGGGCGGCCAAACAAGAATACAAATATCTCGCGAACGGGAGTTTTTTTCAATAATCGAAAAAAAAAACACCTGGGGATTTTCGAGAGCTATCAAAATCCGGTCTCAGAATTGTGCTCTGAGAAAAACACACCCCAGGAAAAACCAAGCCAATAATTCGGGATATTTGGAAATAACGAAGAAGCGGGAAAAAAAAAGTAAAAATCGCTTTCCGTAGATCGATGTGCCTGGAAACAGGGCGTTTGCCGGTACTTTCGGATTTCGGAACAACCACCTGTGTGCAGAGAAAAGTGCACCTAAATTCCGGACTGAAGTTCGGACAAATTGTGTTGGATGGACCATACAGTGCCGGCCCGCACTTAAGAACCTCCTATATTGGGCGAGGCGCAGTTCTTATTGGCTGCCCCAACCCGAGCACCAGTTCTTATTTGCCAAGTTCATATTTCGTCGTCCATCGCCCTCCTCCGCCCGCCCCTCGAGCTCATTGTTGCCGTTCTCCGAACCTTGTTCGTCGTCGCTACTGTCTTCATCGTTAGCGAAGGTATACGGCTTGTCCAAACCCTCCAAGGTGACTCGATCATCGCCCGAGCCGTCCACGGTCATGGCTATCCCGCACTTGTTGAAAAGACGGTATCGGTACGCCTGTTGGCTGTTGAGTCTTGCCATGGCCGCTCCCATCCACTGAGTGATCAGGACGCCCCGATCAGAAGCTGTCAGCGACGCGGTTTCCCACCTCTCGAGGTTGTCCGACTGCTCGAGCCATATGTTCATCTGCCTCTCGACTTCCACCTTGAGAAATCGTCCGGCTCCTCCTGCATCAACTGGCTGCACCTCGTCCGTGCACTCCGAAGAGCCATACCAGGCGAGAGTGTTGCAGTGCTTCGCAAGATACTCCTTGAACTCGTCCGTGGTCTGCGCGTGCAAGTTGTCCATGATAAGAATGGACCTCGCCTTGGGGAGCTCACCCCGCCCGCGCATCACGCTTTCTCGGGGGCACCCAGGGGCACGACGCGTGCGTACAATGCCCACCCTCCCTCTAAAAACATACAAATGCTGATATGTGGGGTATGTTCCCAAATCCAATACTCTGAACTCTGGGATCACTCCCCCCTCTTCCCTCCCTCCCCCTGCGAGTATTCTTATCTGGCAGCCGCTGCATTGCTGTCGTTCTTACTTGTAGCAGCAGTTTTGCACCTCAGGTATGTGTTCTTGTTCCTAACAGGGCGTGCAGCTGAGCACGTGTTCTTATTATCGGTAAATTCTTAAGTTTTGGATTTTTCGAGCATCAAATTCTTAAGTGCCATTTTCTTAAGTGCGGGCCGGCACTGTAGCTGACAAGCTCTCGTGAGTACCAAACTTCGACGTTAGCACGGTTGACGAGGGAAAGGAGCGGCTGGGTCCTTCTCGCGATACAGTGGTGTTTTTCCTGAGGCCGAATTTCGTTGTCCCTGCATAACTTTTGACTGAAGTGGAGAAAAAAAAACAAAAAAAAACATGTCATTCACGCCCGCGAAGAGGCGCAAAAGAGAAGCGAGTCGGAAAAAAAAAGAAGGGAAAATTATGCCTTTCGCCGGGGCTCGAACCCCCGTCCTGGGTCATTTT